GGTTGCCTGGTTTTGTGGCTAAGAAAGCCAGCACCACTGTGATTGTCTTAGCCAAGAGAGAAGAAATGGCAACTGAGAAGATGATGCTGAAAACTGTTTGTCGGAGAAGACAAGTGGCTTTCCGTGGTTGACCAATGAAGAGAAGGGGAGACAAGAAGCAAAGCTGGAGGGAGACCAGGAGGATAAGAGAGATCTCGATTGTTGGCTTTGACAATAGGGGTTTCTCGGTATTTAATGAAAATAATTAGGACAAGGCCTGTGGTTAGGAAGAAGAGTAGGACAAAGGATATGAGGATGATGCCCAGATGTTCTTCATAAGACAGGAAGATTATTTTTTTGGAGATACATTGGATTCGATTCTCATTTGGATATTTATCATCTGGACACTTAGTGCATTTCTCTGTATCTGAGAAAACCCAAAATTAGATTCTTTACATTGAGAAACTAAAAGAAATATATTCATACAATTTTTAGGCCAACTATCTCCTTTTGATTCTGCATCCTTTATTATTAAAAAAAAAAAACAAAACAAAACAGAAAACAAATAAATCCTGAATGGCCTGAAAAACCCTTTCAAGTCCAAATTTCATTCACCAGTGATTCAACATCACTCTGTCTCAGGACATGTCCTACGTCCTGTGTCTAGGACAGTGATGGCTAACCTTTTTGTTGTTGAGTGGCAAAAATATGAGTGCGAATGCAATAGCACGCACATGTGCTGGCACCCATAATGCAAAGCACGCTGCCACATGGGCCCTCATGTACAACCCCCCCACTCCCCATCACACACGTCACACTGCTTGCCCCCAAGCTGAGCTTTTTATTTCCTTTTGGGGGCTGGGGGAAGCTGTTTTTGCCTTCCCCAGGCTCCATGAAAGCCTCTGGAGCCTGGGGAAGGCAAAAACCAGGCCCAATGGGCCTATTGGATCTTTGGAAAAGATTCATTTCTAGCTTCCGGAGGCCCTCTAGGGGCCAAGGGAGGTCTTTTTTAACCTCCCCAGACTTCGTAGGTCTTCCTGAAGCCTGGGGAGGGTGAAAACAGCCTTTGCCGGCCTTCGTGGAGGCCCTTCAGAAGCCGGAAATGGACTGTTTCCCGATGTTTTCTTTGGCACCAGTAAAGGTTTCCCAATCTCTTCTTAGNAGAAATAGAAAGGAGTAGAATTGTGGGACGTGTTGTTGTCATTCTTTTCTAGAAGCCCAAGGTCATCTTTTGTCTCTGCATCTCTGCACCTCACCGGAACCAGCTGGGTGGAGATGCCAGTCTGGAAGGAAGATTGGACCATGTGATGGATTTGTGGATGTGGGGACAAGATCATCAACTTTCAACTGGGGGGGAATCCTAGGTAACTTTGAGAATTGGGATTCCACAGATGTGCCAAGATGTCTGACTTATAAAATTGGAACTTTAAGGATGTTTTGCCTTGAACTCTGATTTAATTCTGCATGATACTTGGAACTTGACATTATGTTCCTGCTAATCTGAAGACTATTGTTCTTCAACGGGCCCACAATTTGAGGATGGCAGGCCATTTTGGATTTGTAAAGACTTTACATTTGATTAAGAGGCAATTTTGGTGGCCTTCATTGAAAAAAGACATTGAGTTCTACATAGCCAATTGTTCCATTTGGGCAGCCGCAAAATGACCACAGGGAAAACCCCAGGGCCTTCTTCAAAGTGTGGACCACCCTGAGGCCCCATGGAAGGAGATATCGATGGACTTTATTGTCAAATTGCCAGAGTCTAGGAAATACTGTGATTTGAGTAATCACCGACCTGTTTTCCAAACAAGTTCATTTTGTTCCCTGTTCCAAAATCTGATCAGCTAAGTCGTTAGCTAAGTTATTTATTTTACATGTGTACCTCTTACATGGAGTGCCTGAATGCATAATTTCAGATAGGGGGGGGGGTCCAATTCACCTCCCTCTTTTGGAAGGAATTTCTGAAGTTAATTGGCTCAGCCCAGGGGCTAAACTCCACCCACCATCCACAGACTAATGGGGCTTCTGAATTGACTAATTCTGTTTTGGAACAGTACCTCTGGTGTTTCATCAATTATCAGCAAGATAACTGTGCTGAACTGTTACCACATGCTGAGGTGGAATACAACAACTCTGTGCACAGCAGTACGGGTTTGACCCCTTTTAGAGTTGTGTTTGGGCAGGACTTTGTATCGATTCCTGAGCTACCTCGAGAGAAACCACAAATTTTGTCCCTCTCCGAGTGGCATGATCAACTTCACCAATTTTGGCCCCCAACCCACAAGGCGTTGGAGGCTGCTCACAGGGTGCACAAGAAACAGGCTGATCAGAAGAGGATGAAGCCAAAAGAGTACAAAGTGGGGGATCGTGTGCTTTCGTCCACCAAGTTTCTGCAAACCACCCAAAAATTGAAAAAACTGGGACCGAAGTATGTCGGTCCTTTCCCTATTGTGAAAATCATTAATCCTGTTTCTGTACAATTAGAGTTACCAAAGCATCTTAAGTGGATTTATTCTGTGTTTCATGTGAACCTGTTGAAGCCAGAGCACACTTCTTCCTTTCGTGCGCCTCTACCTGTACCCCCTGCTCCTTCTCTTATTGAGGGAGAGCAGCATTTTGAAGTTAAAGAAATATTGGACACCAGGAAACATAGGAATCGAATTCAGTATCTAGTGTCCTGGAAGCATTTCCTCCCCTCCCAGGCTGAATGGGTGGATAAATTTCATGTTAGGGCTCCTAGACTTTTACAGAAGTTCTACACCAAGTACCCTGATAATATTTGAAATGTACATATTTTATGTTCTCTTTTATATTGTTTTTTTCTCTTCTACAGCACCTTACAGTCATTACATCAACATTGTTATGTCATCATATCTGTACATGCATATAATATTTCACTTCTATATTTACACACTTTATACACAGTTCTNCAGAAGATCCATAATTCATGGGTCTAAATAACAATATAAGTTAGATAAATTGGAAGGACCTTTATAATGTATAATGACTTTCTGGATTCAGACAGAGATAAACCAAGCTTCACCTGGAAAGGAGAGAAACTATATTCAAGGGCATAGTCCATACCTATACCTTAACCAGTGCTGCATTATGTGTGAAATAGAGACATTTATCCTTTTCTAATGCAATATCCCTTCCATGTTGTTTCAGTCTGATGTTTACTTCAAAGACAGTCCCTGGAGAAGTAGCAGAAGAGATCCCAGAGACCAGAATTTTGAAAATTACAGTGAGAAGTAACTTCTCCTCTGTGAACCCTACATTTCTTCTGGACTCCATTTTCAAAGGAACAGCTGGAGAAGAACACCGTAGGGAAAAATCCTACCCTTGTGGGAAGATCTACATTGTTGTGTAATAGTTGTGGTTCTTTCCTGTCAGGTCTTGTCCAGAAAGTGTTGTTGGATGAATATAGTTCAATATTTTGGGAAGTGACTTCTGCTGTCCTTCAATGTAATGACTTTTCTAGTGGAAGATCATGCAGAGTGATGTAATTAGTTGACATTCTGTGTTGGTGGCACTAAACTCAAGTGCTGCCTGTCTTCCAAAAGCAAGGAAGTAATCCATGTATCCTTAAACCCTTTCTAATGGCAAAGGTTGGGCCTGTTTGTGATTTTCTTTTCTATTGGGTCTATTAGGTCTATTAGGCGCTGAAGTCCTGGTTCTGCCAGTTCGTCTGGGGAACCCAGAGTGGGATGGAGCCCTTTAAATGGCTCATGTGAATTGCTGTTGCCGGGGTGGGGGTAATTCTATTATATTTTATTGTATTAATTTATTTGATTTTTAATTAGTTTAATGTTTTATTGTTTTAAATGAAGTTTTATCTTCTGCAAGCCACCTTCAGTCACCATGGGAGAATGGGTGGCCATATACATTTAATAAATAAATACATTGACATATATTTGTAAAGGTTGACTTGGGAAGAGATTTCTTTCTTCATCAAAGTTTTACTCTATTTTAACAAATCTAATAGAATTAATATTTATTATAATATTTTTTCTAAAAATTAATATAATAAGTCCATTGTATTTTCTTTCAAAGGCTTTTTCTTTGAGTCAATATCATATTTCAGTGCTTCAGTTTTCAGGTCAAGATGTTATCACTGAGCAATGAAGTGATTTTGACTCCATGCCAAAAAAATAATAATCTTGGACCTCCTTCATAAGACCAGAAGGCCTATTACATTATCCCAGTAGGATGAAAAATTGGGATAGATAACTCTAGCCAGGTCTGGGTTTCTTAGAAATTCCATGGAACACTGGCCCGAACCAGGACAAGATGAATCCAAGTTCCAAAGCTTATTTCCAATTGGAACAAAAGGATCTCTCTCCAGTCTTGATTCAACTTCATCAAATTCAGTCTAAACCTGAATTCAGGCACTGGTCAAGCAATTTGCCTTCATGTTTGCTATTTGAAGACAAGGAATAAGTGAATTACAATCCCTAGAATTTAAGGAATTGGCCCTCTCTTACCATTTTCATGCAGCTTCTCCATTTCAGCACTGAGCCAGGGTGCTCAGCCTGATGAAATGGGTCAGAACCTTTTGGAAAATAGAGAAAAGACACCAATATTTCTCCTACCCCGATTGTGCAATTTTAACCATGACAGATGATCTTCATTGATAATAACTCTTTGCTTTTCAATAATCACAGTTTGTTTCCCAGATAGTTGTTTTTGTAGAGAGAGACACCCAGGCAGCGATACGCAGATCAGCCTTTAAATCTCCATTTTGGTCAAAGTACACCTCCTACCCCATTGTGCAATTT